TGTGGATCGTGTCTTTCGACAACATAGACACCCATAGTCAATTGTCTCTGACAGAGACCCACACCTTACTGGGATAATTTGGACGACGATCTTCAAAATGCTGGACATCAAGCTGGTTATGTCAACAGCGGGCCATCCGCAGACCGATGGTCAAACTGAGCGCGTGAATCGCGTCGTTGAGGACGTCCTTCGCAACGTCTATGCTGAAACTTCGAGGAGCTGGAGCGCCATGCTGCCTCTAGTAGAGTTTGCTCTGGACAATGCAGTGCATTTGCCCATCAGCTAGACGCCGTTCTGTGTGAGCGGGCTTGTTCATCCTCGCGTCCCGCTGACGCCGCCATTCTATGGCTCAGGGCTTGTTAGGAAAGAAATAGCCTAGCGGCTAGCTGATGTTGGCCCTCTTACATGACCTCCTGTTTTTCAGACTGGATGACTTACGACACGTTCGCGATGCGATAGCTGAAACCCACGACATGTAGAAAGAATATCCAGACAAAAGAAGCGGAAAAAACTGTGAGGTCGAATATCTTGTTTTATTATATGCTATAAATCTTCCCACGCATGCAATTTCCGTTGTCTTTAAGACGAAGATCCGTTTATGGTTTATCATACGTTTAAAGGTCGTGACAAGCAGGGCCTCGTGTATACGCTAACCTTCCGAAATGATGTGCACCCACCCGGTGTTTTCTGTGGGCTTGCTTAAACCGTGCATGGGATCCAGCGCAAGTGCTGAGCACGGAGTGCAACGATATCCATCTCCAACGGCGCTAAGCGCTCTACCCTTGCATGAAGCGATGCATTCGTCTGCTCAACGCCTAGAAGCCGCTCCGACAGAGCGCGATAGCCCTCAACATGAGGCAGCCGGTTCACAGCGTGCTTCAAGCTCTCTATATCTTCTGCGCAGCTGTATACGACCCCAGCAAGATGCTCAGCGGAGTCCCAATCGCGACGAACCTTGTCCTCAAGGGCTCGAAGAGCCTCGCGAGTCACCGGACAGCGATCGACCCAGTCGTCATCATCCGCCGCTGACTCTTCTAAGAATGGTGGTGTCCACTATCACGTGGAATGTCTAGTGGGTCGACGTCGACGCCAGGGTCAAACCCACTATCTTGTGAAATGGCGGGTATACTCTGACTTCGAGAACTTCTGGGAGCTTGAAGTGCCACTTCGGCACTACTGCCAAGACGTCGTGAACGTTTATGATCAGAAAGATCATATGTTCTCCATCGTCGTACGACTCGCGCTTCTCAACAATAGCCAGTGAAGCCGATGGGCGATGAGCTGAGCTCAAGCTATGGACCTGATCTACTACTGTCGCAATAGCAATCGTGTGAGAGACAACAGAGCTCGCGGGGGCGTGATGAATCAACCCATACGTCGCAGTGCGACAATACGAAGAAAGTCGGCGACGCGCCTTGAGTTGAGAAAGCTTGAACCGAAGATGGCATAGACAAGCGCGTCCACCTCCTTGGGGCTCCTTGCTGTAAGCTGTACAGCGATAAAAGTTTCCGGTTCCGCTGCACCCATCGCTCAAATGGATCTTCGTCTTCTGCAGCGGCTTCGCCAGTGGCGATCACCGCAGATATCGTTCGAGGGTGCAGGGGCGCTACCTCTTTGAGCGAAGTCGAGTGCGGTGCGTATCCACCGATAATTCTTGAGGAGCCAAGAAGAGAGCTCTAGAAGCTTTTTGTTAGTCAAACTCAGCTTGTGTAGTGGCCGGGGACCCGATCACGGTGACGCCCAGCGATCGGTGATCGCGTTTTTCACTTCTGTAGCGGGATCCGCCGAGCGAAAGCAGGGCCTAGAAACGACCGTGTATGCGCACGCATGGGAGCCGCTCTATGGACAGCATCCAGCTGCAGCTTCTGTGTTTCGTCGAGGTTAGTAATGACACCATCTCGGAAGTCGAGAGTTCAGTAAAAAGACACGGTGTCGGCAAGGTTCGAGCAGGGCTCACGTCGTGCCGCTGGGACACCTTGCTGTTTTCTTCTTCCCATGGTGGGATAGGAGTGTCCGACTCGTAGTCGGCCTCCTCCAATTCCTCGACGAGATAATCCATCGCCTGTGGCGTGCAGGTGGGTGGTTGGATGTAGACATCGAGTCTGTGTTCTTGGTTGTGTGACCCTGTCGCTTACAATGCGCTGCGTGGTACACGGTTACCGAGAGCTTGGGTTGCGCTACCCTTAAAGCCGCGAACGTGCTGTCCGAAGTTGTATCGCGTGCAGGAGATGAAGGAGGGCTCTGTTCACGAGCGTTCTCAAAACCAGCGAGGCTGCGTGTCTTTAGTGTCCTCGACAGAGGGCTCATTAAGCAGAGAATCCGTGGAGAAGGTCCTGCTGATGTTGTGGTGTCTTAGACACGCGAGCCACGTTCGAGGCGACAGTGGAATATGATATGTGGGTGCTCACAATCTTGATGGGGGAGAGTGAAACGGGTTTCACGTGCCTTGGTATGAAGGAGTGGATACGTTGCAGCAACAAGTCAGTACGTGGCTGGAATACCAGTAACTATACATTCAATCAGTCTTACTATATAGATAGAAATACTTATAATTAGATAAGATTGGCTTTGCCGCAAATTAAACCGAGAGTTACAGTTTACGTTATAAATAGTTAGCCTTGTATTAAGGTGTAATTACTCTTCAAGTAAGTGGATTGCGATCTGCTACACTCGTACTGGTTCTAAGTATAGAACGAAGATCATCGACCATAACCAAGCTTCCTCTAAGGCAAAGAGCTACGGCAACCCCGCTACACAAATGATCGGTATATAGCACAAGGATTTCATGATTGCGCAGAAGCCGAAAGACTACTCTGCTTATCTGAGACCATTATCTATAGCAGGGTCACAGACCTCCATCTCCCGTACACCGACCAATTCTTGCAGATTCACTAGGAACCATAACTCATTTTTTTCAGTTGCAAGTTTACCTCTAATGTATTAAATCAATCTTCTCCCCTCCAAGTCGGGACTATCCTTCTGAGTCCACGTCTGAAATCGCTTCATCGTCGCACAAGCGTGTGTATTGTGTTAGATAAAGTACTTGTAGATTGTGCAATCTTGCATGTATCTGTCGATTGACGACAAGTGCTCCCAAGTGCAATGGAGT